ATATATATATATATGGTGAGTGGGGTGACATCATCACTCAGAGACAGGAAACATCCATCTGACTCACTCAGATGATGCTCTCCTGCATGGCCATAAAAGGGAGCCTGGGAGTAGTGAGCAACGTTCCAGAGTCTGCTCAAGCAAGGAAGGAAACAGGTGAGTAAAATGGCAGCCAAGCCAGAATGCTGCACACCAGTAAAGTCAGTTTGGAACCCTGACAAAGGGGCAGCTTCTTCCCTTGTTGTTTACGATGTTGAACCTCTGCATTGACTCGCTGTGAGCCTGAACTGCACCTTTACAAGATGGCCGAAAGGCAAAAGGCGGAAGGTCACTCCTCTTTAACTGCTAATCCTTCCGCAATATTCCTCCTGATGGGCATTCTAGCGTGATTAATGGAAAACAAAGTCTGACAAAATCAGAGTGGAGTTCCTCGCGGCGGTCTGTTTTGCCCCGAGGACGGTGTCAGTCATAATGAATGTGCTGTAATTGGTAATAAATTTGTGGGCCGAACATTAATCTCTGTCTTTACTGGCAGTTTTAAATGCATTAGTGCCAAACAATAGCTGTTTATCATAGATTAACTCTGCGGAGCCAAAGACATTGTTCTCCGGCACACATAGAGGTTTATTTATAAACAATTTGCAGAGCCATTCATCCTGCGAAACTCTGTGAGTGTTCGTTGTGTGCGAACAGAGGCAAAAACGAGTGTTCTTATATCCTTTTCAAGTCGAACGTAATATTAGGAAAATAGCACATTGTGGCCACTAGTTGGTGCTGAGGAGCAAAGGAAAGAAGTATGTATTTCCTATGCTCTATCTCCATCTAGCGCGCCACTCACTTCCTGTCCAGGTGACGGGTGTCGACACAACAGGAAGAAAAACCTTCTCTATAGGGACAGAAACAACTTCGGACAGAAACAACATCTGACACAACAATCTGTGTCCCTCCCCCACTCCATCTGAAGCTAAAAAAAAGGTTTTGTTATGGGAGCTCGACATTTGCGATTTCATTTCGTTCCGAATCAAAATTTGGACGCATCCGATTTTTCCGATTCCCAATGGATTCGAATGTTCCCGAATCCGAATTTCCTTTTCCAAATTTTGGATCCCGTCCAAAATTGTTCAAAAACGCAACTGAATCAGACATGTGACTTTTCTGGCCAATCAGATGTGTTTTTCGGTTTAATGCATCAGAATGGGCATGAACACGAATTTTCCTTATGGCAACATGGGAGCCATATACAGTATTTACATATAATATTAAAGCAGAGGCTCCCAGACCCGAGTGGCATTCGGGATCCGAATTTCTGAATTGAATTCGGGAGCTCCCAAATGCCATTT